GCTTCGAGAACCCATTTAGTGTACAAGGTCCCGCAGAACCTTTTATGCAGGTGCATGCTTCAACTATTAGTGATTGGTCATAACTTTGTGGAAATGTTTTTGTGAAAAAGCTTTTTGCGGCTGTGCTGGCCAACAGGGAGTACACAGGGACATATGCAGTTTATCAGAAATAATTCTGGTTTCCTCTTGAAAAATTTGCAAATGCCAAATGGTTTGTACTCTCAGTCCCAGCAACAAAAAGTCTTGATGCAGTAAGGGAAGCAAAAATCTGTTCAGGGAAGGAAAATAACTTCATGTAGAAAATGAGCAGACTTCTTTACTCCTCACGTCTGAATCCAGCTTCACTGCATTATAACCACACAGAAGCTACATTTCATTTAGATTTTATGCATACCATCAAACTATTTTCTCTACAAACGCATCACGGTAATCACTGTAACTGGGACCCTGTGTACACAATTTCGTTCCACCGCATGTACCACATGTGGTGTGTATGACAAATAAAGAAACTTTGACTTTGACTGTAAACTGAAGGTAGGCACTAACAGTGACGGTAACATCTCTTAGATGCTCTTGATTGGACTTAGTGTGGTTGAGAATCCATACTAACATCAAATATTTGTAACAGGCATACAGTACATTGTTTATTACAACCTGATTCCACCAACAATAACGTTATACTTTTTATACACGTACTATTAAGAAATAAATCTGTTTACGTGATGACACCCTGTAACGAAGACATTAAGGCGCAAAATTGCAAAAAATAATTGAACTATTGATTATCAGTGGTTTTGTCACAATGAAAGAGAGAAAACTACTGGAGCCTGAATGTCAACATGTTCATTTATGGTAAAAATGTCTGAAAAATAATTTTGTTTTCTGTGTTTATTTTGGAGAAAACTACAGGAATATACGATTTATGATTCATTTATTTACTGTCTCAGAGAAAGATCCAGATTGCTAGACCCTCTGAAATATAAAATACCATAATTAAGGTTGCAATCTTGAGCTGAGAATTCTTGAGTCACTTATTTAGAAAGTAAAAAAAAAAAAAACATTAATAGTGAGTCAGTAAGCATTAAGGCAAATATCTTCATAAACCAGCAGTATGCCAGTGTTCCCTAAGGCCGAGGGCTTTGAATACTTTATATCTTGTTTTTTTTCTGGACTGGAATTAAACAGGAAATATAAGTAAACCTTAATGTTTTCAGTCCAAAATATTCAAGTGGGCAGGAGTTGCACTGTGTACAAGAACAGAAATAGTTGTTTTATTTCTTGTCCATCATAAATTAATCCTCGGCCACTAGTCAGCCAGCTCAATCATTTGAAGAAATTATATTTTAAGCAACGTAAAACCTTGAAAACAGTTTCCTCAAATAATCTGGGTGGCTAGTTTACATTTATATGGTGGTGGCCATCTTGGATTTTGATGTGACAAAACAATTTTCAGTAATGTTTTTTCTTACAGCTAGATGCAGTCACACATCAAAATTGCACTTTTTAAATTTACCTTTAACCAGCAAATTCCTCTGAGATCACCGATCTCTTTAGCAAGAGAAACCTGGGCCTGAAGCCTAACAGGCATGTTTTTTTTTCTGTGTAAGGAAAGTACGCAGGAAAAATCTTTGCAAACACAAGAACATTCCAACTCCATAAAGAAAGACCCCTGGTCCAAGCCAGGGATTGAACCCATGACCTTCATGCTGTGAGGCTGCACTGCTAACCACTAAGCCGACGTGCTGCCGTAGATGCAATCACACATCAAAATGGAAGGACTCAAGAAGGATGGAGGAACACAGACCTATCTTCTGGTATCTGGTTTCTTTCATCCAGATAAAGGAAACCAGGACACTGTTGTGTAGCTAGACCAGGTGAAGGCTTGCCAGGGCCTGGTTGTTGAGCCTGGAGTCTTGGGACTCAGCTGGGCCAAGCCTGAAAAAAAGGTGAATCAACTTCCCGGTAGATTCACTGTTTGGAGGTTCTGTTGTTCTCCTATTGGACTTGTACTTGGACTACCCATGTGGGCAATGATGTGTTACCTGGAGGGGATGAGAAGAACAGCGCTCCTGCTCTGTACTGGAGCACCATCAATAGGGTGATGCTGGTATGTTTTTAGTACTTTATAGAAGTTAACATTTTATTTTACCTTTGAAAAACTTCTCAAAATCTGTTTAAGCTCCATTTCTGATTTGGTGATTTTATTTTATTTTTTATGGTATTGGCCATGCCCACTTTACTTGAGAACTATTATCCTTAAGATATGAGCTCAGGAACACATCCTAAGGGTCTGTAGTAATTTTTGTAAAGATCCAATTTGTCACCTTTGCAGGAAAAAAAATCATGTTATAATGCCTCCTGTGTGCCAATATTTATCAAACTTGGTACAGTAGCTCAAAATAAACTCCCCTATTAATAGTTTGAATTTAATTTTATTAAATATTTATAGTTGGCTTTTCAAATTTCACGATACAAAAAAAATGTAGTTTTGTGTTGAAATCTGTGGTAGAAGTGGTCTCCAGTTACAGGTACTTGGGTGTGCACCCGAGTACGTCAAAGTCAAAATCAGCGTTTATTTGTCATTTGCACCACATGTGGCACATGTGGTTGAACAAAATTGTGTGCATAGGGTTCCAGTTACATCCAACAAAAGTATAAAATGTAAAACAGTAATAAGATCTAAGATATGAGCTAAGAAAAACGTTAACTAAAAATACCCTAAACACTAGTAGTACAAAACTAGTAGTAACAACCTCAACTGGGCCAACAGCACTACCAGCCTGATCAAGAAAGCTCATCATAGTCTCGACTTCCTCAAGCGACTAAGGTGAGCTGGTGTGGGAAGCTCAGTCCTCACCTCCTTCTACAGGTGTGCAGTGGAGAGCATCCTGTGCTCCAGCATCAACGTGTGGTATGGAGGCTGCACAGCTGCAGTAAGAAAAGCTTTGCAGAGAGTGGTGAAGGCTGCACAGAAAACTGTTGGAGTCAGCCTCCCCACCATCACAGACATCTACACCTCTAGATTCAGGAAGAAGGCAACCTGCATCATGAAGGACCCCACTCACCCAGCACACACACTTTTTGTCCCGCTCCTCTCAGGACGGAGGTTGAGGAGCATTAAGAGTAGAACCACTAGACTGAGGAACAGCTTCTACCCTGAGGCTGTTAGACTCATGAATCTCTAACCAGGATTATCACTGTAATGACACTTTAATTGGAGATTTGTCACTTTTTCCATGCTGCTGATTTCTTACCCATAAGCTGCTATATTCATATCCATCTGCTCACAACAAACTCATGTTCAGGCTGCTGTTTAATATACAGTATTAGATTATACTATTATTACTTAAATACATCTTAGATACTAGTATATTGTTTTTTCTTTTCTTGAATATACTTTGTGTATATTGCTTTTTTAGGTTTAACTGAGACCTTGAGCACACAATTTTGTTCCACCTCATGTACCACATGTGATGTGAATGAAAATAAAGTCTCCTTGAACCTTGAAATGGGTGTGGTCTATATCATGTGACTCAGTATGATGCAGTATCTGTAGCCAATACATTTTGCAACTTATAGTTTACAAGTTAGAGGACCAAAACCAAAGCCAGCCATTATAATGGTCTCTATAGGTGAACATGTCTGTTTTTCTGTACCAAATGCACAGATCATAGTTACTTTAATGAAAAAATCGTCATGTGGTACGGGCTGCAGTATTATTTTTATTTACAGAAGTAAACAAAACAAAACAAAAACAATACAAAATTGAAGTTTTGATAGGGTTCCAATGTCCACTGCCTTGACCCCTAATAATGAAAGGCTAGCCAGAGACTAACAGAATCATCATTTAAAAAAGGGCCTCAAGACTTGACCGCTAGAGAAATTTTATTTAACAATCCTAATTATGTTCTTACATATTACAGATAGGTTGGAAATCTGTATTTCTTTTTGAAAGAGTGGAATTTTAATTTGAAATAATTTTCTAACCATTTCTAAGGTAAACACAGGATATAAAACTACATATCAAAGAGTCTTCACAGATGAACATGCCATTATCATAATGATAAACATTCTGGTTCCAGTAGTTTTCACTGTGACAAAACCCCTCTTAATTATCATACCTCAGTTACATTAGCAATATTCAGCATCAACACTCATAATGGCAGATAACTGAATATAAGAATAGGCAAGTAGTGATAATGGTTAGGAAGTCTTTTTACAAACAAATGGAACAATGTTCTCTGTTTAGATCGGACACCAATGCTTGATCTGGATGACTCAATCTAATGTGGACCATTTTAAATCAATAACTCAGATCTGTTGAACAAATAATAAACAGTTGTAGACATATCTTGAACAACCTCAGTTTGGAGAAATAGTATCATCTATATAAACATTACAACTTTGTGCTTTCCAGGTACATTGTGTCTGAAACCATAATTAGAAATGGGGTTTTTGTTTCATTTTAAATTATCTTTCCAGGTCTCTCTTGTAAATGAGTCCCTGAGGCTCAATGGGATTAACCTGTATAAATAAAGGTTGAATGAATCTCTGAGTTGACTGTGAACACACCTAGTTAGCATATCAAAGTGTTTGTTATATCAGTCGAGCGGTGTCCAGATACAGATACTAGTATTGGTACCGGGGCTGAAACCAGCTTCAGGTACTCATATTTGTATTCATAAAAGCACCCTGATACTTGGGACCCATACCAATGTTATGCTTGGTGATGCCATTTTCTCTTTCACTTAGCAAGTAATCAAGGACGAAAACTAAAAATCGTCCATATTTTAGAGATATTTAAGATAAACAAAGGTGATGTTAAGGCAACATACTCTTTGCTGTGTTCTTAATAAAATAAATGTGTTGCTGAAGTCATTGTAGCCATAAAGTCATTGGCATATACCTAAACTTATGTACTTGTACATGGTTTGAAAAAAACTGGTATCGGGACACCTCTTAGGGTCTTTCTATTAAAGAGGTAGGATGATATTACTGGCAATATAACTATTGGGTGATTTCATAATTAGTTTCCTGTCTTTATTTTGCTGATGAAAGGATGAGCCTTCACCCTTCCAAACTGACATTCAGTGTTTTCTTGTGGAAATGCATAGCAACAGTTAGCAGCAGCAAACAGGGCAGAAAATGTGTTTCCTGTGGTTGGTCTCTTCATTGCTCCATTCCGTTTGTCTGCTCTCTTGTCTTTCACTGGTCCATCTGATCTTCAGGGTCTGCCCAGGTTTCCATCAGTCATCAGTCAGTATCTGTTTGTTGCTTTGTGTGTTGTCACTGCAGACCAAGAGATGTGTCTCGGTTATAAGGCCTCAAAGTTCAGACTCAAGGAGGTAATCAAGTGTTCTCCCTGGCTGATTCATTCACCCTTTAAGACCTGCTTTATCATTAAATATGAACCCAGTGCCATCACTGATGGTTTATTAAAACACGAGTCACTCCGAAGTGACTTGGCATATGAACACACACACACACAGACAGACAGACAGACAGACAGACAGACAGACAGACAGACAGATAGCTAGATAGCTAGCTATAGATAGATAGATAGATAGATAGATAGATAGATAGATAGATAGATAGATAGATAGATAGATAGATAGATAGATAGATAGATAGATAGATAGATAGATAGATAGATAGATAGATAGATAGATGGATGGATGGATGGATGGATGGATGGATGGATGGATGGATGGATGGTT